AAAATCAAAAATCATTAATATTTTACTGAAACCTATACCCGGCTTCGATCAATTAACCAATAATCATTTCACTGAATATTTATTTAGCAGACATCACATAGAGTTAAGGTTAAGTATTTGATTAGTTGCAGGTATATATTTTTACTAATTTCATCTGGCGTGATGTCAGCTAAATGAGCTGTCGGTGAAGTGATTGTCGGTGAAATAATACAGACCCAAAAACCATATGTGGTAGGTATATTAAATAAAATTGTTCAGTATTTAATTTTATATATAACTACATATATTCTAAATCTTACGCCAATTTTAATATATGTAGGGCACTATATTAGCCTTATACCGGGTATTGCACCTAATTTTAATATATATAGGGCACTGTATTAATATTATACTGGGTATTTGTACCCTACGTGTAATGATAGTCGGGTACATATTATTTTATAGAAAATCATTTCAAAAACATTTTATTTTATAGACAATTGATTTATATATTTATTTCATGAACAATCTTTAACACGAATAACTTCTATTGGTTCTTTTTGGATAATTTAATTACCAAAGCGATTGATTTGATAAGATGATTATTTTGATAATTAAATTATCCAAAACAAATTAATAAATTAAAAGTTGTTCACTGTTATAAAGATTATTTTTAAAATAACTGTCTGTAACGTAATTAACTTCAAAATGAACTTATCTATGAATTGATTGTCTATGAAATAAAATATTGAAAAATGATTTTTTATAAAATGATACGTACCCATGATGGTCAATTCTTATTTAATTTAACCAATTTTAAACTAATAATGTTATACCAATTTAACTCTACGAAAGCTTTTAACATGTTCATTTCCTCATGAAGTGGACCAGGTATTAAAAGAATTTCTGGATAGTTATTTTTGAATTTTTGCGCATAACGGTAAGGAATTCCATCACAAACCACTGCAATCCATTTTCGTTCACCTTTGTTAATTCCGCTAATTTCTTTAATATGATCTAGGACTTTTTGAACATTAGCAATAGAATTTGGGTTTATGGGCAAAGGATCTGGAACAAGGATTTCAGGTATAATAACATTGTTTTGAGGTTCGGATATTTGAGTTATACTAAGTGGATTAATTAAATTTGTAGAATTTTTAGGGGCATTCGCTTCGGGATAATGAAATTTAAAAATTAAAGGTTTGGTTGTATCCTTTTTTTTTAGATATCGTTTGGTCAATTTCTTGTTGAATTTCAGTAATTGTAGGAAGTTTCGTATTGCATTGAGGGCATTTACGCTTAGAATTATCAATATTATCTTTACCACACTCACGGCACCATTTTTTTTTATCTATTTTTGTTTTTTGATTCATAATTAAATTATCTATAAAATTTATATTTTCATTTTTTTCAATGCATGCTTCAGTTAAGATAATAGAAAGGTAATCGTGAAGTTGCTGATCAATTAATATTTCCATTTCGGAAGTGATATCGAATAATTGCTCAATTTGCATAGTATTAAGAGTTTTATGTAGCCAAGGATTTTTGATGTTTTGCA